CCTACTAGCACAGAACAGAGTCCACTAACCACCTTGAGAGCCCCAGCTGCCAGAGTGCTTACTATGATAGACTTCAAATAAGGCATAGTGCCTGGGCTTCAGCAGAATGGCCCACATCCTCTTTGCACACACGAACTCACAGACAGATAGACACACGTTTCCCTACCCAAAGATCAAGGTGCCTGTCTCCTTTAAAGGTTCCTCAAGGGCTCCCAATGCCCCCACACAAACATAACAAGCAAAGTCAGCAAAAACCCTTAAACCCTTGGTCGTTTGTCATCCCCAAAGTCCCTACGTTTGGCTTTGTCTTTCACGATGTGTCCAACAGCCTGAGCGAGCCAGACTCTCCCCCTTCCAGTTACCAGACTCAGCAGATTCAGAAAAATTGCCCCTAAACTGATTGCTATCTGGTGGAGGGAACTAACGGAACTTTCCAGAAGGATGAAGCAAATGGGTCAGAACATCTCAAATTTGTAAATACATGTAAAGCCGATAGAATTCCAAGTGAATGTGCATTCAGGACTGCTAACTATGCAGAGTTCCAGGGAGCTGAGAGAAGGACCTCAAGTCCCCAGGAAGGCATTTCCGACAAAGTCAAAAGAAAGAGCTCCACCCCAACCTCAGCCCCTAGCGTGGAGCAAAGGGCCATTTGCAGGAAGGGACTAATTCATGAAATCGCCCTTCTTCCTTCGTCAGGCCTGTCAGCAAAGTGCTTCATTAGCAGCAGGCTTGACGTTGTTACTAGGGAAAGTAGAAAAGGCTAATGACAGTGTTCATTGTGGGATGACTACAAAAAATATTGTTAATGCCACCTCTGAGCTGCCATTTCAGCTGTCGAAGTTGGGCCATCCTGAATCACTGTTACCATGGCAACTGGAAGTCAGTCTACTGCTTGTCATGCATGGGGATGGTACCTCTGCGTTACTGTTGCTGAGAGAAGCACAGGTATTTTATTTATAGCCAACCCGTGGAAAGCTGCATTTGGTAGTCCTTTTGAGAAATATGGTCATTAGACAACAACAGAAGTCTTTTTGAAACGCTGAAAACATATTTTGATGGAAAGGCATCTCAGCTCAAAGCTCCATATTCTTGAGTCATAATGGCTTCCAGGCTGGTGAAATTTTAATATTCTACACTTTGCTGAGAGAGATCTGATATATGAGATTTTTCAACAACTTAGCCTTAGCAATGGGATGACAAAGGGACAGTTGTGAACTTCAAAATGACTTATAGAAACCATTCGCAATAATAATGATGGGTTGGATTTGTGATTTTTGAAATAAGTGGCCTATCAATTTTGATTTGAATTCAAACATTTTCTTGGTGGAAGAAAATCTTTAGATGAGAATTATTGTAAAAATTATTTTTGTAAAAATTTTGTAAAAACAAACAAAACCCCCCCCAATGTTTTGTAAAAAATTGCCAGATGCCAAAATAATGACTATAATAACAGAGATTCACCATTGCCGGTTTGGTTGATATATTTACCCTCCTAGCTTAGAAAAAAGCCTAATACTGACACTGGAATGAACATAACCTAATCTTCCCATTGGTCTTCTAGCAATGTGTTTTTGAAAATGTATGAAAGTGATTCCCACCTTTTATATCAGGAAGTGAAATCCAATTCAGCAGAGGTAGAAACTGCCCTGAACAGACAGGAAGATAACAGGAACAGGTTAGAGATGAAATTAGTAAATAAAAAGAATATTAACATTAGTATAACTCAAGACCACATAAGACTGAATCACTCTTTTCAGATAAGTTTCCTTCAGGCAAAGTATTTTTCTGTTCCACAAATGAGCAAACAGCCAAAAGGATTGGAGAAAAAAAAATCCTGCAAATGAGAGAGAACTCTCAAGTGAGAGACACTATGCGCATGTAGGGGGTAGGCAGATGGGAACTCTACTCTGAATTCAATTTCACTGTGAATACAAAATTACTCCAAAAAAAAACAAAAAACAAAAAACAAAGTCCAAGATCAGGCGTGAAGATACATGTCTGTCATCCCAACCCTTGGGAAGAGAGCATTGATACAAGCTTAAGGCTAGCCTGAGCTACAGTGAGTTCCAAAACATGCTACTGCAGTATGAGGCCCTGTCAATACATACACTTCTCTATAGTAATCAAACCAAAAAGTCGGTAATCTAAAACAGTGTCAGTAACTGACATTAACTCTGCCCATCCTGTAAAGACTTGCCTTAGAGGAAATGAAACCAGGAAATGATAATATGAAACAGACTAGGAAACCCATGGTGACTTGATCAAAGTATAACACACTCTAAGACATTGACAGGGATATCAAATAAATTTTGAGAGCTTTTTAAAACTAGGTGATGAAACCATGAGAAGAAAATAAAAGGCAGAGTTGAGCTAAGTCAAGAAATAAAAGGCAATGAGTACAGAAATGATTTGTGTGTTGGAAACAATACTTAAAAAAAAAAATGCCAGACATGGTAATACACTCCTTTAATCCCAGACCTGGGGAGGCAGGGGCAGATGGATTTACTTGAGTTCGAGGATGGTCTGGTCTACAGAGTGAGTTCCAGGACTGCCAGGACTACACAAAGAAACCCTGTCTCAGAAAAACCAAACAAAGAAACAATAAGTGCATAAGACTTGTTGAAATTGTATCTATTGTCAAAAGAACAAGGAGAGAAAAAGCACTGTGCATATGATCCCAGTGAACTCAAATCACAGACCAAGAAATAAAAGACAGAAAGAATCCAGGAGCTAAGAAAACACTCAAGTATGGGCCCCTGAAGGCCGCTGTCAAAGTCCCTGGATGCAGAATCACAATCGGAAGAGAAGACTTGAAACATGCTAAAAGGAAACTTCTGGAAAAGAAGGCAGATATATCCTAAGAAATATAATGTAGGGAGTCCAAAATGCAAACATGGCTCAGTTAGGATGTTAAACCCCAGGATGAAGAAGTCATTCTTCAAACCAGAATAAGCACGTTTCCTTCAGGAAGAAAATCACCCAGCTTGGCTCAGATCCAAAGCAATGCTCTCAGAGACTGGGAGCAGGGCTGGGGAGACAGCCCAGGAGGAAAGGTTGTCTGGTATTTTTGTAAAACTTCCATCATTGAAACATCCAGCCTTAAGAAAAGGAGGAGGAGGAGGAGGAAGAGGGGGAGGAGGAGGAGGAGGAGAAAGGAGAAGGAAGTGTTGGTGTCAACAACAATGGGGAGATGGTTCAGTCAGTAAAGTGCCTGCCATGCAAACATGAGGACCTGGGTTTGGATCCCCAGCACCCAGTTAAAAAGCTGCACAGAGCAGCTGTGCCAGCAACCCTAGCCCTGTTGGGGAAGGAGTACAGGTTAGAAGCTAAGAGACAAATCCTTGAAGATTATTAACCAGCCAGCCTATCTGAATTAATGGGCATCAAATTCAATGAGAGACCCTTTCTCAAAATAGAGGAAGATACCCAACACTCACCTTGAGCCTTCACACACACATGTGCTCATGAACCCACACACACATACACCACACATACATGTAAGACCACACATTGGTTGCTTTCACTTACTAAAACAGTGATGTGGATTTTCTTAAATCATAGAAATAATATTATATACTAAGTAGCTAACTAAGGTTAATTGAAGATGGTATAGGTATTTAAAAAAAATTTTCTTACTATACTTAAATAGAACTGTTTAATTATGAATAGAAGATGAGAAAAAACGATTATGTGTTCCAGGACATTCCCACCTGTACAAGTTCTTTGTGTTAGGGGTGGGGGTGGATCCAGATGACCAGGTCCCAGTGAGACACATTTTGAAAACTTTGACGGCCAAACTTTCTTTTTTTTCTTTTAAGGCGGCATCTCACTGTGTAGCCCTGGCTGACCTGGAACTTACTTTCTGCGTAGATCAAGTTGCCCTCAAACCCACAGATATCAGCCTGTCTCTGCCCTCTAAGTACTAGGATATAAAGTACATATTCCCATGCCCAGCCATGAGTCAATCCTTTTAAATAGCTTAAGATATAATTCATATATCCTAATAGTCACACTTTTAGAGAGTGTGATTCTGAGGGTTTTCATATAGTCAGAAAGAGGTGAAACCCATCAACTCTGTCTTATTGGAGAGCAACCCGTGTGTGTGTGTGTGTGTGTGTGTGTGTGTGTGAGAGAGAGAGAGAGAGAGAGAGAGAGAGAGAGGGGTGGGGAGGGAGGATCGTATGGATGCATATGGCTGGATACTTGGGTAGATGTGGGTGCCTATGGAGACCAGAGGTCAACTTCAGGTGTAGTTTTCCAGGAGCCATCCATCTTGGTTTTTTGTTTGTTTGTTTTTTTGTTTGTTTGTTTGTTTGTTTTTGACAAGATCTCATGGACCTCAAGCTCACCAAGTAGGCTAGACTGCCTGGTGAACCTCAGAGATCTGCCTGTCTCTGCCTCCCCGTGTCTGGGACTTCAAGTGAGCACCCAGCCTTAGTCCTCCTGCCCACACAGTGAGCACTTTGCCAACTTTATCAGCGCCCCAACCTTAACTGGAGAACATTCTCATCAACCACAAAAAAAAAAAACCTCTGTGGTCTGTCAGCAGTTTCCTCCCTATTCCTCCTCACCTCAGCCCCTGCTGCCCATTATTCTACTATCTCTATAGATCTGCCTATTCTGGACATTTCTTGTAGATGAGATCACACGGGCGTGCTCTTTTGTGACTGGCTCCAGTCACTCAGCACAATGTTTTGAAGCCTTGCCTGTGTCACCGCCTGTGACAGCACTTTGTTTTAAAAGCTGCACAATGCACCATCTCGTGGCTAAGTCATTTTTTTTAAAATCCATTAATGAGTTGATGGACATTTGGTTGTTTCCACATTTTGGCTATTATGAATAATGATGGTGTGATTATGCATTTGCAAGTTATGTGAACATATGTTTGCATACTTCATAGTTCTGTTCACTGCTGAGTGGAGTGAATGGATGGTTGTGCAATATGTTGGATACTTGTTTAGAGTGCAAACACTGAAACGCTGCCTTCTTTCTGTTTGCAGGCGGAAATGGTACACAGCGCTTTTCAGGCCCAGCGTGCTTTCCTTCTCATGGCCTCTCAGTACCAACAGCCCCAGGAGGTAAGAGGCTATCACAACAAACAGGACTGCCTAGCGAGCCGAGCCTGCAGGGTGCGATGTCCAAGAGGAAATCACAAGAGTCATTTCCTTTAATGCTGTCTCTACTCTAGATCACAATAGAGCATTTCTCCCGTCTTTATAGACTTGGTGACAAATGGAATCGTGTGTGTGTGTGTGTGTGTGTGTGTGTGTGTGTGTGTGTGTGTGTGTGTGTACCTGTATAGGACAAAAGCCCCTATAATATATCTTCTGATTACTGATAAATTACAGTTGTGACCAAGTATATACAATGACCATGGACACCACCACTTTTAAGATATATTTACATATGACATCTATGTCTTGTTCTTTCCTATTTTCACGATGCAGAAAACATTTGCCCTAATTTGGTTCCAAATTTTCATTGTCTTCGGATCAGGCTGCTGGTCTTTGAGCCCCCTGGAAATCCTTAGTGTGGCTTGGATGGGCTTTTTCATCCTAAGGAGCATGATAAGCTGACTCGGTGCTTCCCAGTGCCTATGCTGTCTGTGACTGGGGAGTTTCACCGCAGTTTCTGACTCTCTGGGTCTTGAATATGGTGAGACTCAGCGTCATTCAATAAGCTCCTGAGGGATGCCCCAGCTATAATTTAACAATTAGAAACTTTGTGAGTCTGCAAGGACCCGTGTGTATCCCACCTTGCCATTCTCTGCCAGGAATGTGGGCTAACTTCTCTTAGGTTAAAGATATTTAAGGACTGGACAAATAACTCAGTAGGTAAAGCGTTTGCCTTGCAAGCATTGAGGCGCCGAGACCCATCCCCAGAACCTATGTACAGAAAATGATTATGGTATTGTACACTCGCAATCTTAACTCTGAGAAGGTGACACAGGGAGATGCCCAGGCCAGCCAAGGCTAGCCTGATCTACAAACTCTGGGGCAATGAAAAACAGTCTCTAAAAAAAGTAAATAACACCTGAAAAAACAGTATGTGAGAGTGCCCTCTGGCCTCCAGCAGACACACAAACACAAGTGTGCACACACACATGAAGATATTAGAGGATTTACCACTCACTGCAACAGTACTGTCCATGTAGTAATTTCAGTAACCTTCAATCCATCATAATGGATCTGTGTGATACCCAGAGTAAATCTTAATGCACCAAGGAATAAAAGATAAGAGCAGATGTTAAGAAAAGTGGGGATCACAAAGTCTTTTCCATTTTCCAGTACATCCTGTTAATAAATCTCCCCTCATTCTCTGAACCCAGGCCCTACCACCAGCAGCCAGACTGACAACACAGTATCATGGGAATGTCCACGTTCCCTTCACCACCTGTTCATAATAACATTTTTACCTGGCCCATTTTGTAATAATGAAATGGTTTGGTAAAATGTAGATTAACAGTGATCAGGATATGAGAAAAGCACAATTTTTCTTCTGATAATTTTGTATCTTCAGTTTGTTAACAATTACATGGGGAAAACAGAGTTGAATATCCTTATGACAAAGTAATTCAAAGGCAGTTGTTTCTTTTGACTTCTAAAGCAAATTCCTAAAATCTGAACAGTTGCACTGGGCAGATTTCTGGGAATCCAGGACTTGGCCTTCAGAGAACAGCAGCAGGGAAACCCTCAACCCTCTCTAGAAAGTCCTTCCCTGCCTTGGATTTTCTTCATTCAAAAAATCAACTTAATTTTTTATGTAATATATTTTGATCATATTCTTCCCCCAATACTTCCCAGAGCCTCCCTTCTCTCCACTCACTCAAATTCATGATCGATATCTCTCTCTCTCTCTCTCTCTCTCTCTCTCTCTCTCTCTCTCTTCTCTCCTCTCTCTCATCTCTCAAAATAAAAATGAAAATCAAAACAAAATCAATGAGACAAAAAAAAGCATACAAAGCTAGGGACACTCCACTGGAAAAAAATGGATTTTCCCTTTCTCAGCAGGCATGAAATACAAATAGTCTCTTGGTGAGGAGTAGGACTTTGTCCACGCCCCCTTGTTAGTACTGGAATTTTGCCTGATTTGAACTCATGAAGGTCTTGTGCTTTTTTTTTTTTTTTTTTTTAAGGGAAATTTTTATTTACTTACTTTTCTTGTTGCTGTCACAAAATGCATGAGAAAGGCCATTTAAGAAAGGAAGCCTTTATTTGGGCTCCCAGTCTGAGGGTGCAGCCAGCCAAGGCAGGGGAGGCATGGTGGCAGGAGCGGGAAGCAGATGGTCACCTGGATCCACACTAGGGGAGGAAGAGAGACCAATACTGGTGCTCAGTTAGCTTTCTCTTTTCTTATTCTGTCTGGGATCGCAGTCCATAGGATAGTGTCACCCACATCCAGAGTGGGTCTTCCCTCCTCAGTTAGAAACACCCTCACGGACACACCCAGAGACGTGTCACCTGGGTGACTTAGTCAGGTTAACCTTAAGGATGAACCATCACAAATACCAACACATGGATCTCACCCCAAGGAGTTTCTGCTTAAATGGTCTGAGGAATGGCCTTGGCTTTCGTACTAGGGGTTCACGAGTGATTCTAACTTGTAAACAGAGCTATAAACCCCTCCTAAGATGGGCATGCCTCTTCCTTCTTTGTAAAAGAAGCTACCACAAAACCTGAGAGAATCTGAAAGCGTGGAAATATTCCAGGCTCCAGTCTAGATGAACTTTACTCGTTGGCCTCTCAACCCCAGCTTTGCAAAGGAAAGAAGTGAAAATCCCTTCCAGACTCTTGCCTTGGCCTGCCTTCTTTGGCTGAGGTGGGAGAAGTGGTTTCCATTGAGTCCATTGAGGAAGAACAGGCTTTTCTCCCTGTTGCTCCACTCCATGGGTTTTCTGAACTTAGAGCAAGAATCCTTTCTGTTGGCCTTGCTACTTTACACAGGAAAAAAAAAAACCTCACTCTGTAATTATCAGTTGGTGACTAGAACTAATGAGCAAATGAACAGGGCATGGGTGTAGCTCGGTGGTCGAGCATATATATTTAGCATGAGTGAGGCCCTGAGTTGACTAGCACAAGAAGAGAGGGAGCAAGGGATGTGTCCACATGAACTGATGCACTGGTACCTTGGCATTCCAAGGAGAGCCACAGTCAAGGATACTGGCTTAGTGTACTGGATATAGCATCTGCATTCCCCCCACCCCTCCTTGCTCCGCTACATTCTTGGTAAAAAGGTACAAAGATGGTTTCAAGGGAGGTGTGCATTGAAATTCCCATGAGCTTTGGTCCCCTAACTCTGGGTGCAGCAAGGCCCAACAAGATCAGTAGGTAAAATGGAACACTAAGGTTTCTGTTTCATTTTGGTTTGGTTTGGCTTTGGTTTTTTGTTCTGTCTGGCCCCTTCCTCTACTTCCTTTCCTCTTAACCCAAAGCTTCATCTGACAGAAAGGCAGGTGCAGGAAGTCACATCACAGCAGGGAAAAAAGTATGAGGCTGGACATTGGTCTTCCCAGTATGTGTTCTAGAAGCATAAAGAGTATTACCACAGTAAAAATGGTGCCTTCTCTATGTGTTCTAGAAGCATAAAGAGTATTACCACAGTAAAAGTGGCGCCTTCTCTTGGGAGCTGTAGCCTGTCTGTCCCTATGTGTCGTAATTTATTCCTTGTTCCAGGAAGGAGAGAAAACTGCTGTGATTCCCCATCTCGCTGCCATCCAGCAGAGCTTCTCAAAGCTGTGGTGTAGTGAGAATCCCCTGAAGGGTTGTTGGGTTACAACTGGCCCTCATTTACAGTTTCCAGGTCAGTAAGTCTGGAGTGCGTCCCAGGCACCCACAGTTCTGAAGTGTCCCAAAGTAACAGGGAGCCTGCTGGCCTGTGGTGTGTGGTTTTGCTCTCCCTGTTATGCCTCGAGCTCAAATTCATTTTAGGGCCTTCATCATGTCACTCACAGCTGCTTCTAATGACCTGGAAAACATGCTGGTGAGTGAAACAAATGAAATATAAGGAGGAGGACATGACTACTCTTAAAGTATGGAGAAGATTTTTAAGGTAGATATAAAAGGAGAAGAGTCCAGGCTCAACATGGCCGGCAAACAGACAGACCATGAGAGGAATGAGAGGAGGAAGGAGACCAAGGGAGGAGCCACTAACCAAGAGGGGCCTGCTTTCTTCTTTATAAACTGTGTGTGTGTGTGTGTGTGTGTGTGTGTGTGTGTGTGTGTGTGTGTATTTGAGTACACATTCATTTGTGTACACATATGGAGGCCAGAGGTTCACTTCAGGTATTGTTCCTCAAGTGCTGTCCATCTTCTGGTTTTTTGTCTCTTCTTTGAGACAGGATCTCTCAGTGGCAGTTGCCTGGAACTCACCAAGTAGTCTAGGCTGGCTAGCAAAGAGCCCCAAGGCTCTGCCTGCCTCCAGCTTCCCCAGTACTAGGATTATAAGTACATGCCACTGGCTGCTTCTTACATGGGTTCTGGGGATAAAAGCCAGATCCTCATGCCAGCACTACCAGCCCTATAACAGTCACCTTGCAAGAATTAACCATGGTCCCCTGGGAACTGCTTTAACCCCCTCTGAAGGCAGCTTCCCGGGTGACTTAGTTTCTTCCCACTACCTCTCACCCCTTACAGGTCACGCTGATTATTAAGCTCCTGACACATGAACTCTTAGGGGCCACACTCCAACTGTATCCAAACCATACCACCACTCAAAGTCCTTCACACACACACACACACACTGCATGTAAGACACACTGCACAAACATTCATAGTTGTGTATCTAAATAAAACTATAGATAATGGTTGCTATAATAGAAGTAATTTTTGTTTGTTTGTTCGGGGCCTTCAAACATCTCTTTTCACCTGGAATAGATGAGCAGCGTGATCTTTAGTGACCTCTAACATGAGTGACCACAAAGTTTCAGCCTGAAATACCAATGCAACCTTCAGTGGACCATTGCCTCTACTGCCTTAGAAGAGTGCTGCACCTACGGATGCCATCATCGGGGGAACATCACCACAGCAACCAGGAGAGGGAAAATATCCCCCACCCAGGCCCCACCATCCAGCCTTGACTA